CATTTAAAAGGTAAAAATTATGGTCTTGTTTCGCCAGTCTTCCTCCTCTCCTGAAAATTTGAATATATGTTTTGCTTGGATTAATTTTCATCCCAAGTTGTGTAAAGTACTTCTGCATTAAATTAATTTTTCTCTGTAGACCAATTTTTGTATTTGAAAGTAAAACAATATCATCTGCATATTGTATTGAGTGGATTACACAATTTCCAATTCTTATTCCATCCTCTGCTTTATCAAATTGTTTATTTATATCAAATATGAAAAAGTTAAACAAAAATGGCGATAATGGGTCACCTTGTAACAGACCCCCAAAAATATCTATGGGGGAGAAGACAGTATTGCCAGATTTTATATTAACATGATAATGACCAAATAAAAATTTTATGAATAAGATATCTGCTCCATTTTTTCCTAGTTTTTCACTTATTAATTCTATTGAAACTGAGTCAAAGGCTTTCTCCAGATCTAAAAAAGCAGCGTAAACTTTATGCCTTTTTCTAGATAACTGAATTTGAATAATTGATATCAATATAAAAATGGCTATTTCTGTACCACCGTTTTTAGCGAAAGCAAATTGAGTATCAGACGTCAACTGTTTTTCTTCTAGCCATTGATTAAATCTTTTTGCGAGAATAGCTGTAAAAACCTTCCTTAAAGTTGATAGTATTGCAATGGGTCTNCACACCAATGCATTTGGGTTGCCAACCACTGCCCCAGAGTAATTGGATACGAGCTTCCCTTCCTGTGAAAATGTTCATGTCACTCATTCTATTTTCTTGTTTACTTGGGTTTTATGTCTGTGCACAATATTGCATGTTAGTGCACCTTATTATTTGCCTGTCTGCCTGCCTCCAAAAAAAAATCAATATCAAAGGGCACTAGGTCATGTCATTCATTTATTCATTGCCTTTAGATAGACTTTGAGCCTGCATAATCTCAGTAATCTGGCACTCTTTTTAATCTGTCATCCTTCTATGCAAGGAATGGCCAGATTAGAAGAGTCTAGTGTAGTACACCAACTTGAAGTGTTGTTTGAATTTGATTTCAAGTCTCCTTTGACCTTGTATGCTAAGGAACAAGGAATGTGAACTCTATGGGGTAAACTAATAGAAAATGGTTCAGTATTGGGTTTGATTTGCAGCTTGTATTCTCCAAAAATCCTACCAATACCTTGTAATAGTGCATTGAATTCCTTTTTTACATCTTTGGCAATACTATTTGCTCCTGAGATTACTCCAATTTGTTGTACCAACTCCAGATTTGTGACATTGTCTTTCCCTAGTGGGGGTTGGTGTAAGTTGTATATATAATAGATAGTTTGGCATACTGATTTTTGACATAGTGAGAATATAGTTTCTTCTTGGTTGTGCACCTTTAGTGTTGTGAGCCCACGAAGTTTTGGGCACAAACTGGGGGAAAAATTAACCTAAAGGAATTGTTAAATTAGTTCAGAAAATAAACATCCCAATAGAAACCTTATCAATTAGGCCTGTGTTTAGCACAAAACCATCCAAGTTGTCCTTTTACCAAATAGAGGCTTTTTTTGAGCATGCAATATTTTGAAAAATGGCCTTTCCTCTTGCATTGGTAACCGGTGGTATTTTTTGCTGCGCTTAGGCATCATTTGCTCTTCTCTCCTCCACACTAAAACACTTCCCTGCCATGTCTTGCCTTGACTTCAGAAAGACTTTTATGTGTCGAGTATACCATAAGATAATCAAGGGTACTTTTTGAACCAAACTACTTTCTGTGAAAAACATTTTTCATACCCACAGATGACATACAATTCATGCTTGGCTAGTTCATTTCATTTAGTTGTTTTTCCTCTCCTCAGAATGCATGACTATTTTTGATGCTTTCTCTAATGTGAGTTTATCATCAAGTAAAGCTTTGTCAAGCTTGAATTTTTTGTCTACCATGCCAACAATGATTCTATTCCAGATGAATTCCTCTCTTGGGTTTCCATAGTTGCAGCTTTCATCATATTAGCAGTTACAAGAATATAAATTTATCATTATGAAAAAATGTAATTTAATTTTTGTTATTCTTGTAGAATTAACATGATTTATCTATAATACCTAAACAAAGGATCTGATTAATAGGAAGTGTTATTTCTCTTTAAATTTATTATTCCCACAAACTACAGTTCAAATCGAAAATTTCTCTACATTTCATGCTTTGAATTCATCTTAAACAATATGAAGAGATTCAAAAAGTTTTGTAAATAAGAATAAATAAAAAAATCTGAATAAATTTTTTCTAAATTTGTGCTTCTCATCATTAAATAAATACTTCAATAACAATATACAGAATATTATATTATTGTAATGGATTTATGTTTTTATTTTGGCGCCAAGTTTGGCGCATGCGCCACGTTTTGGCCACCCCTGTTGTAGAGTAATACATGACGAATTGTCTTCTGTCTCTACCAATTCGGAAAAATTTTCTAACCTTGTTTCTTCATCCTTCTCCCTCTCTATTTCAGCTTTTTTCCTCAGCTTTTCCATCTCCTTAAGTGTAGTTGGTTGACGTTGGAGCATTGTATCTACACATGCATCCTTGGACACCTTAACGGCACTTGTACTTCGTGTCAATGGAGGTCGTCCTCTCTTTGTCGGTGAATGAGATAACGGCCCTGGATTTTGTTCTACTCCTGCCATTATTAATTTTAATCTAATTACTAACCATAAATAGTTCAACAATAACCACCAAGTTAACAATTGATTTAATTTTTTGGCACACCAAAGATACTCCAACGCAATTTGCGCCATCTTGGTCGAAGGTCTGAAGCGCCCCCCCTTTCCATGTAATAATTTAAAGAAGTAACTAGAAATAGACTACAGGTTATTTCACAAATCTTGCCTGGAAGCTGCACATTACCTAAAAGAGACTGTAGAGTATTAAAGGCAGTATATATATGTTGGCAACCTGAGAGGTAATTATGCTTGTGTTAACTTCATTTAGCCTGTATCTTTCACATACTAACACAGACTCATTATTGCTGTCATGCATCACAGCAGCCCTGCCAAGATTCATGAAATATACAACAAAACAAGTGAGCAACTGCTTAATGATAATGCAATTTTTCTTTTAGAGTTTTTGAACTCTTAGTTTATTTTACCTAGTACGAAATTTTATTATTATTAATCAAAATGAACTAATAAGCAATATTAAACACATTAAATATGATAAAATGTGTTTAACGTCTTTCTTTTTTGATGAATTTGTTTATCAATAAGTAATTTTTTAACATCATTATTACATTATAAATTATTTATAGAGTAAATTAACAAGTAAGGAAAATAATTCTTTGTATCAAAATTTAATATATATTTTATCGTTTT